ATGAGAGCACCCATGGCCCCCAGGAGAGGCACCCCATGGCCCCCAGGAGAGCACCCCATGAGCCCCATGGCCCCCAGGAGAGATGGCCCCAGCACCCATGGCCCCCAGGAGAGCAGCCCCATGGCCCCCCACCCCATGGCCCCGAGGCAGCCCCAGCCCCCAGGAGAGCACCCCAGCCCCAGGAGAGCACCCCATGGCCCCCAGCACCCCATGGCCCCAGGAGAGCACCCCATGGCCCCCAGGAGAGCACCCCATGGCCCAGGAGAGCACCCTCAGGAGAGCACCCCATGGCCCCCAGGAGAGCACCCCATGGCCCCCAGGAGAGCACCCATGGCCCCAGGAGGAGCACCCCATGGCCCCCAGGAGAGCACCCCATGGCCCCCCCAGGAGAGCACCCCATGGCCCCCAGGAGAGCACCCATGGCCCCCCCCAGGAGAGCACCCCATGGCCCAGGAGAGCACCCCATGCCCCCAGGAGAGCACCCCATGGCCCCCAGGAGAGCACCCCATGAGCCCCCATGGCCCCCAGGAGAGCACCCCATGGCCCCAGGAGAGGCCCATGGCCCCCGAGGAGAGCACCCCATGGCCCCCAGGAGAGCACCCCATTGGCCCCCAGGAGAGCACCCCATGGCCCCCAGGAGAGCACCCCAGGCAGAGCACCCCATCATGGAGGAGAGCACCCATGGCCCCCAGGAGAGCACCCCATGGCCCCATGGCCCCCAGGAGAGCACCCCATGGCCCCCCACCCAGCCCCAGGAGAGAGCACCCCATGGCCCCCAGGAGAGCACCCCATGGCCCCCAGGAGAGCAGCACCCATGGCCCCCAGGAGAGCACCCACCCCAGCACCCATGGCCCCCAGGAGAGCACCCCATGGCCCCCAAGGAGAGGCACCCCATGGCCCCAGGAGAGCACCCCATGGCCCCGAGGAGAGCACCCATGGCCCCCAGGAGAGCAACCCATGGCCCCCAGGAGAGCACCCCATGGCCCCCAGGAGAGCACCCCATGGCCCCCAGGAGAGCACCCCATGGCCCCCAGGAGAGCACCCCATGGCCCCCAGGAGAGCACCCCATGGCCCCAGGAGAGCACCCCATGACCCCATGGCCCCAGAGAGCACCCCATGGCCCCCAGGAGAGCACCCATGGCCCCAGGAGAGCACCCCATGGCCCCAGGAGAGCATGGCCCCAGGTTGGATCCCTGAGATAGAAATACTTTGCCCATATAGAGGATTCCGCTGTAGTTTCATGCGTTTCCCGGCCCTCGGTGAATCCTCCAGAAATTAGATCGCGTGTTGTGTGTTGTTTGTTTGTGTTGTGTGTGTGTGGGTGTGTTTGTTTTGTTTTTTGTGGTGTGGGGGGGGTTGTTTGTGTTTGTGTGTGTTGTGTGTGTGCGGGCGTGTGTGTGTGTGTTGTTTGCTTGTGGTGTGTATGTGTCTATATTTGTCTGTTTTATGTCTCTCTCTCTCTCTCTCTCTCTCTCTCTCTCTCTCTCTCTCTCTCTCTCTCTCTCTCTCTCTCTCTCTCTCTCTCTCTCTCTCTCTCTCTCTCTCTCTCTCTCTCTTATATACTTGTGCGAGCAAATGCGTGTATCTTTGCCATAGACATATATTTTGTTTGTTCTACCATAACTTTACAAGGTAAAAAGAGATCAGAATTATCATCGGAAATGATTTCAGTATGCAAATAACACTCGGTCGGCATTAGAATAACGGTCATATTCGAAATTCGGTCATTTGTTTTGCAAATATTAGCAGTCGTGTGTGTAGATACGTGTATGTATTTTTATGAGAGAGAGAGTGAGAGTGAGTGAGTGACTGAGTGACTGAGTGAGAGAGAGAGATGGAGGGAGAGAGAGAGAGAGAGAGACAGCTAGAGAGAGAGGGGGGGGGAAGAGGCAAAATGTAAATATAGACCTAAGGAAACAGACATACAAACACAGAAAGACAAATGCGAGAATAAAAGCAAACTGACAAACAAAAAAGAGGTCAAACTCATTATAAAAAGGCGCAAAAAGCAAAAACTTGAAAATCCTTGCATCGCTCCACCTGCATATATACACTGTACACACACACAAACACTCATATCTGTGTATGTTTGTGTGTGAAGAGAGACAGAAGAGAAAGAATTTTAAGATATATTAAGCTGCTACATCATTTGGAAAGAAAACGAATTTCCAACGAAAAGCAAACACATTTTCTTTGGCAGATGCATGCTATTCATATATTGGTCAGTTACGCCAAAATGTGTGTAAGCGACCTAACTTTACAAGTTAGAAAGATAAAAAAAAACAGCGGTAAAAGAAAATTAAAGAGAGGCAGTGAGAGAGAGAGAGAGAGATTGATAGAGAGAGAGAGAGAGAGACAGACAGACAGGCAGGCAGGCAGAAGAAAAGAGAGAGAGACAGGCAGGCAGGCAGAAAGAGAGAGAGAGAGAGATGAAAAACAGAGAGAAAAAGAGAGAACCCAAAGAACATAGCTATCGCATATTCTCCTTCACCTTTCTCGCCTCCTCCCTTCCTCCCTTTCGGTGTAGAAGTAATAGACTTTGTTCCTTTGGGAAGAGACGTGAAAAAAACATTAATTAATTAATGTTGTTTCTGCGTGTGTCTTTCCGTTCATACACAGAGACTTTGAACATACGCGTATATGCATCACATACAAGCACAAAATACACATTTTTTGTATATGATAAATATACGATAAATATGAAAGTTCGTACGAGAGAACGGCACACATTTTCTGATAGTTTTTTTGTATTATTATTATTTCTTAGATATTTCGATGCAGGAAAGTGTAAGTAGTGTTGCAGAAATTCTTAATTCCGTATATTCTCTTCGTTTGCAACCAAAATTGACTTTTTAATATATATTTCTGCGCTTGTATATCATCTTATAATGATATGCAAAAGATATCGAGGTAACGCATTTCTATCCCTTGTAGTGCACCTAGACATTTTGTATTAAAATGATGATACATCAGTTTTTATCATTTGTTATTACATCAGCTATTCAGTATACGGTTCATGTGTAATTGTTCTTGTGTGGTGGTTTAAGAATATTTTTAAAGATAGCATTCTCCAGATTATCCAGCACTTTACTCTTGGTTTAATCTTTCTCTGAATATTGACGTGTTCTTTCTTTTTTATCTCTCTGAAACTACTTGACGTTTTCATGCTGTGAATACTGATAGCCTGATCTGTTCTTAGTGTTTCATCGCGTATTTGATTCGGTAATTTCTGTGCTGCTACCAGTGAATTACCCGCTACTCTATTTATTACTTTGCATATGATATTTAGAAATCGAACATATATGTATGTATATATGTATATGTGTGTGTGTGTGTGCACGTGTGCACACCACACATAATATATATATATATTATATATATATATATATATATATATATATATATATATATATATATATGTATATATACGTATATATATTTATGTATGTAATTGCAATTTAAACAAGTTAATAGGAAAGAATATTACATATTTTTATTATAATGTTCATTTTTATGATTTCCATTCTAATATGGCAATTATCATCATCTGTTCAAAGAATATGAAGCAATTGGTTAAAGATATTTTTATGACCGTTATAGTTTGGGCGCACACTCAACAGAGGAATGAATTCAACCTACAAGCCTTAAGATCGTTAAGTCATGCTACCCATATTAAAATTAGATAAGTCAGAATTGGGTCTTCACAGGATTTTCTTCAAGTCCAAAATCCCGGGTGGTGGTGGTGTGGCGCCTCGCTAACAAGGGCACCCAGCTTATGCATAGTTAAAATTAACTAACATAAGCTTAGTGTCTTATAAGGTGATCTGGGGTAACGCGAGCATCACTCATTAACTACGGCAAAACAATTACGCTATGTCATCTAATCACTGGTATGTGTTGGATTTTGATTTCTTTTGAATGAATCATGGTGGATAGGATCCCTAAGGCATAAAAGAATCTATATATATGTAAACCATGCGCTTTATTAAAGATACGAAAAAATAAAAACAAACGAAGCATAAAACTGTCCACGTTAACTTTAAATTCACAAATCAAAAGCACAGTATCCAGCCTATACTTCTGATTCCCTAAAATCTTAAAATCAGCACGCAATTTATCTTAGGAGAGCAGAGGTTGAGGTGGGCGGTTTTTCTTTTGTCTGAACGACGGGCAGAGTCCACACCGATGCTTCCCAAACAATGGTAGGCGGCAGAATAGCCCGTGGGAAACTACTGCTGACTTTCTACACTTGGAATATGGATTGACGTAATTTAGAATGGATTCAATCGTACACATTGCAATCAACATAAATTAATATATTGCTAGATAATATTTCTTGTCATGTAGTAGCGACCAGTCTTCTTGTCATGTAGTGGCGACCAATCTATACTTCTATACTTTTGTATATATGTAGTGGCGACAGGCATCCTTTCATATAACGGTAGCGCCAAACATTCATATGCTGCTCGGATGGTCATCACCTGACGTGGAGGCTGCGATCCAGGTCACTACAGTGGCACTGCCCGAAATTAATAACTTTCATTGATATTCATGGTCATGGGATAGAAATTTTGACCGGATTGTGTACTAATCACTGTAGAATATTTGAATAGTTTGAATAGGCAAAAATGCTGTTTACGACAATATATATATCGTCTTTATTTACAACCCGAGGCAAAGGGAGCGAGAAAACGGCTCCCAGAGAGGCTGCAGTCTGATAAGAATCCAATGATAAGCGTCTTTTCACCAACGCTTCTCTCAGCCCAGTCGGTAGGGACTCAGATCCGGGAAATGGAACTTTATTGCAATGGATATTTTTCACGTTGCATTTCATTTTATGTTCGTTATTTTTATTTTTTTTTCATAAGGGGTTGGATTCTGATCATTATTTTCTTGCTTTCTGCTTTTTTTTCTCTTAATGTTTTCAAATATTTTATTTTTATACTTTGCTCTTTGTTGTGATAGTTTTACATATATTATTTTTACCGTATTCTTTTTTCTCCATTGCATGATTATGCAAATGTGTATAATGATACTGATCTAAAGCATATAATTAAATGATTCAGGCACATTGATAGCATCAATATATTTTTCCTTGACCAGAAATGATTTGTTTGTGCGTTCATGTTTTATGGAAGAAATGAGAATAAAATCTAACAAGTGAATATCAAACTATTAGAATATAAAAAGAATCCATATAATTTTTTTTCTATTTTCAGTCATTTGTAAAATATCAGTAAATATTTTTTTAGCAATATTTTTTTTTTTTTTACATTTTGTATCCATTTCCAAGCTAGAAAAAATATACATAACATTCCACCCGATGATTAAGATAATTAATTCAAATTGATAATACTTCACAGCCTTAAAACTCCAAAAGGAAAAAGAGACAGAGAAGAAAAATAAGAAAAAAAATAAGGATATGAAATTCCAGTCATTTTTCTTTTCATTTTTCTCCTATCATCATTCCTTTATTAGTTTATCAGTTCTGGAAATGTCGCTTTAAAAACGTTGCCTGTTCGGGACCTTTGTTGCAATGAACGTTGCAGGACGGGAGAGAGGGAAGGGGGAGGGGGGGGAGACCTGGTTGTATGACACAATAACAACACCTGTAAAGAAGACCGTTTGTGCAGTACTATTGCGCTGAACTTTTTTGTGTTTGTTGGTTTGTTGTGGATTGGAGTGGGAGGGGAGTTTGTGTTATATCTATTTTAATCTTTATTTGTTGTTTTCCTTTGTCGTCTGTTATTTCTGCTTATCAGTTTCTTATTCAGTCTCTCATTATTTCTGTTTCTGCCTCTCTCTCTCTCTCTCTCTCTCTCTCTCTCTCTCTCTCTCTCTCTCTCTCTCTCTCTCTCTTCTCTCTCTCTCTCTCTCTTCTTCTCTCTCTCTCTCTCTCTCTCTTCTCTCTCTCTCTCTCTTGATATCTATCTATTTCACCCTTTCTCCTATTTCTGTCATTTCCATTTCTCTCATTTTTTTATTTACCAACAATACTGATTTACATATTCAAATGGCGATGTCCTTAAACATCCACATTGTTGTGATGTTCATAATTATAGATTATATAGATGTAATGTAAAATTTCAAAG